CGCCACGACTGTGACTCAAAATCATTCCGCAACTAAACGGCCAAAGCAAAAGTTAGGCGAACCGGGACTGGGTAGTAGCAACATTCGGCTTTAATATCGCATAATCGACTACAGATTTTACGCGTTCCGAGCTAAAGGAAGAGAGAAAGAGGGAGCGAGAGAGACAGAGAGAGAGAGAGAGAAACTCTGCGGAACAACATAATAAAGTCCGGTAACGTTTTAAGTTCGCTCTGGGCCCGTTAAAGCATTTAGTTAGCGGGGTCGGATCGCGTTTGTTTGGCCCCCATTTGCGCAAGTTGGCTCACAAAACCGTGAGTTTGCATAAAACGTCCGCGGGTCCGGTTATTACGGAAGCAGTTATGGGTTCTAAACGAGACAGGATTTTCTTGCGTGGGATCGCTTCAGCTCGGAATCGTTGGCGTCTAAGCCGGTCGCGCGTAAGGATTAGATGTGTACGAACAGGATCGGGATTCGGGTTCAGCGATGGTTGTCTCGTAAGTCTCGATTTCGGTCTTAGGTATTTGCTACGAGAAAGTGAGAGAGAGAGAGAGAGAAAGAGAGAGAGAGAGAGAGAGAGAGAGAGAGAGAGAGAGAGTGGATCAAAAGGGTTCGTTACGGGTCCGCAGCGCCGCGAAGCAAATTTACATTAGCCCCGGATTAAAGGAGGTCTAAATCTGGATCGAATCCCGGTTAGATCGGTGGAATATTAAATTTCGATATTATCAGCCAGCGAAAAGAGGGGAGACAGGCAGAGGTAGAGCGAGGAGGCAAGAGCCTCTTCGTTGCAGGGCTCTATCAGTCCCGAGAGCCACTTAACTCGGAATCGCGTTACTAATTGCGTCCTATTAACTGTCCACAATCAGATTCACGATCTTCTATTCTGTTACACGCTACTCGACCTTCCCACTCGACTGACCCGACTTATCCCCGATGGGAACGGTCATTGAATCGATTCGATGCGGAAATTACGCGTGATCGATCCTCCTCGAACGATCCTAGATCGAGAATTTTCTCGTGGCCCATAAGAAACCAAGTGTTATACCTCGAAGTGGACGCGTTTTTAGCTATCAGAGACAACGCGCGGGTCACTTTCCAACCACTTTGACACGTTCACCATCTTCGTCTCACACGCGCGACGTTCATGATCTTCTAGTTCAGACGTCGACAATCTCATTTGGCTGCGGGTCAAAACCAAACGAAACGTGACTATTAAATTAAGAAGTTTCGGTACAGTGGTTTTTTTTTCGTTTTAAAACAGTATTTTAGTGAATAATAAAATAAATTTTACTGAGGAAATAATTACGATATGCTTTTAAACTTTAAAGAAAAAAAATCAAAAATTATAAATATAATTATTATAAAAGTGAGAATAATCGTCGAATTATCAAATGGGTCATTTGGTGACCCACGGATCATAGGATGCCAACGCTTGTCCTTAATTTATATATAAACATTAATTTCTTCCAAATCGGAATGATTCTTCCAAATTTGAATCTTCTGTTGTCAAAGTTTAGGAACGAAAGTGACTTAAGACGCAGAAGAAACAAATATTGTGTCGTTTTATTAGGGACGTAGCTGTGAAAGAAATCATAGAGCAAAGGGTTGATGGAACAAAGATTTAGGTTACGAGGAGTTCAGAATTACGATATTAATTACATTTTCAATGGATTTGCATTTTTCTTGTATTTCGCAGAACGTAAGCTCTGATATACTCGAACCATCAGCAGCGTAACATCAAAGTACGGCAGATCTTTGATTATCCGGGCTTCTGAATAAGTAATTAATTATAGATATAGCTCGTCTGAATAGATATGTAACTCCTGAACAGCTTATTGGATGTAGCTTGGATATAGCTCGAATTGATATCAAATCAAAATAGCTCAATCTAAGCTTAAATCTAGCAGTGTAATCAAGCCAATGTTCTATTATCCGAACGCTCGTGTTTACTTCATCGGTTCGGCAAAGTTCCAAATTTGTCAACGGCACCGTCAGCGTTAAAAGAATGCAACACTGTCGATATGTTCGCAAAGCAATTTCTCATAGAAAAATATTGAACGATTGGAAAAACTCGTGATCGATTACAATAGATATCACTGAACTATTTATTTACGAGCGTATAGTTATATCATTGCGCAAACTTCATAGTTATTTCATTGTTATTTCTACTGTTATTGTACAGTTTCCATGTTGTAAAACAATTTGGTGAGATCCATCGAAATCGCGAACGAACATTTCCGACACAGTTCCACGCGATATCTAGAATAGAAGATGGATGAATTCGCGATTTGACACGAGGGTCGAAAATTGACCAGTCTAGGGTCAACGCAGACCCAACTGTTGGCGACTGCATACTATACACCCTCTCTGGTCAAGCCGGAACAAAGAGGTGGATTTGCAGCGAACAGCTCCGGGATATCGGTGCTCGGAGCTACGTAAGAACCAGGGCCAGCTGGAAAGAATAATTTAGCGGCGGCAAGGTTGTCGGTTGCAGCGGAAACGTCCTTTATTCGGTCGAAAAATTATTCGCGCCGGGAAAATCGAGAAGAAAGACACGCTCGATGGATTCCCGTGTATTGAAACAGGGTCGGCCCGGCTTGGGAACCGGTTCTCGGGCTTTCGAAAAATATGCTGCACGGGCGAGAGAATGAAAGCGGTTTCGGGCCGACGAGGGTGTGAGGAGGGAGAGAGAGAAAGAGAGAGAGCGAGCGAGAGAGCGAGAGAGAGAGAGAGGGAGAGAGAATGCGCGTCAGGTTCGCCTGGTGGGAAATTCACCGCGTTGTTTCTGGCCCCCTCTTTCACCGACCTCGTGGCTCGTACACGCGTTCCACGGTTGTTATCGATAGCGCATTTTGTAAACTGGTTGTGTTAATAACATTTATAGTTCCGCCGGTGCTTGATCTATCGGATAGTTGCCGGGGCGACGTGTTGTTCGAACGGTTTCGAATCGCGTATATCCGACCAGAAGTGAACGTGAATGTTTTACCAGAGTTAATTCTATACGGGCCACGCTGTTCTGTTTGGATTACCAAGTGGGACCCTCTCCCCGCGAAAAACTTGATCCGTAAAATGGCCATTTAGCCATCCGAAAGACCGCCTTTCATGTTCTACCGCGACTGTTGCTGTTATGAAATATTTAAACGCGGCCGTATCCTGGGCATTGTGGATCGTTCTGTACTTGGAAATTGAACAAATCGATTTCTCGATATTTTATCATATTATCGATTTATATTGCGAACTTTCGATGCGATTTTCACAGCTGTTTTTCTATGCAACGCAGCCAATAATCGTAGAATTGTATCATTTTCGTGGAACGGTTGTCGATTAAGAATTAGAAATGGAGAACTAGGAATACTCGAGTAACTAAGTTGTGCCGATTTGTATTCTTTCGATCCTCTTTTAGCGCTCAATTTTATGCATTTCGAGTACAGTAAATTCTTTCCAATTGTCCCCAAAGCTTGTAAACAAAGATAGACGATTTCGGAAGAGGAGATACGATTATTCGGACCTGTGGGCTTCGCTTTCACAAAACTTAGTGAAAATTTGACAAAATTTACTATTGTAGTCAAATTCAAAGAATTTAAGCCGTGTCAATATATTATCTGCGATCTATTAAATTTAATAAAGAAAGAAACAACTTTATATTCGGCTTCTATTGGCTACAATTAATGCACGCAATTTTAATTGTACATACAAATTTGATGTCTATTAAGGATTATTAAAAAATTTAATGCAACAGGCGATGATCCTTAAACTCTTGAACTTTGGACATTTTCGTATGCTATAAACTCATCGACAGACATTCTCTGAGCCATAAATAATAGACTCAGAACGACTGTCGATGAATTCGTAGTATACGAAAATGTCCAAAATTCAGAAGTTTAAAGGATCATCGTTCGTATTTTTATGTATTTGCCTTGGCAAAAAGGGCGGGTCTTTCCATTAGTTTTCTTCCGGAAGCGAAACGATACGGGTCACTCGTAAGCACACAACGAGGGAATACCGTTGTTCCCATCGGCTCAAGAAAGGGCTCGTAGAATATTCAGACTGAGATCGTGAAATCGCGGCGAACACTTTCGGCTCTCGAAATTTCGCGAAGTAAAGGGAATTACCTCCCATGCGGCCATGAGAAGAGCTTCGAGCTCCATTATGCAGGAGCCGTTTGATCTCCAGGGCGAAGATATCGCAGCGGCTCTCGGGTCGCGTGACTTTTCGTATATCCTGTTGCACGCAGGAGCAACAGTCACGCGACCAGTCGTGTAAAAGCGTGGCTTTCCGTGCCCAAACATTCTCAACCACCATCTGCGGACCTTAGAAATTAAATGGGAAGCAAGTCTCAGCCAAGCTGCATCTGAAAGTAATAATTAATTAACTCTGTTTCATCCTGACAATTTAATTTTGAAGACGAAGTCAAAATTTCAGCTTCGAGCTTACTTTGGTTTTCGTAAAGATTACCGGGGGAAATCGGCCTGTTGTGTAGCGTGGCGTAGTTCGATTTTACCTTAGATACTTATTTTTCGAAATAAATTGAAAAATACCTTCTGGCGTGGTAACCTTTAAAGTGGTCTGCTCGCTTCGAACACGTTGAAATACTTACATCGTTGCTACACATTAATTTCATGCAAGAAAGTATGATTCAACTTCTATGGTTGGAAAGTATAACATTTTCTATAAATTAAAATAATAAAATATCCTATAAAAATAATATAAATATAATATAATATAAGATAATAATATATATATACATAATAATAATAATATAATAATAATAATATATAATAATAATATATAATAAAATAATATATATAGTATAAAATATTCTATAAAATAAAATAAATAAAATTTCTCGGAATTTGTCAGAAACAGCAAAAGAAAAATCCTGCACTCCCCCCGCCCCCTCGAACCTTAACTTTCCCAAAATTTCTTGCTTCTTGTTGTTAAATCTTGCTTGTTACATTTTTCATGTTTCTCAAACATATATTTCTGATTTGTCTTGTACACAGGTCGTGATTGTTTTGCTCGCCGTAGCTGTCTGCGTCTTGGCTGAAGAAAAATACACTACCAAGTACGACAACATCGATGTGGATCAGATCCTGAGGAGCGAACGTCTTCTGAACAACTATGTAAACTGTCTGCTGGAAAAGGGAAGCTGCACCCCCGACGGCAAGGAGCTTAAAAGTGAGTCGACGTTCGAGTATCATTTAAAACGGACACGTTACGATCGCACGATGTTCTCTTTTTTGTCAATTACTGCCTCGGATCACTGGAAAACGTCTGAGAAACGTTCCTTTCGTCCACTTTCTGTCTTCCTTACATCTTTTCTGCCTTTCGTATTCCATTTCAATGTCTCCTAATCCTCTTCCGAAATGGCGTAGCAAATTAACGTCATTATGTTCATTAAAATGGCCAAGCGACATTCGTAAGTAGACTGCGGATTTGTGCACCTTAGACAAAAATGAATCTATTACATTAAAAGAATTTAAATATATTGATGTTGGAATCTTCATTTTTTTTAGATTGTTAAAGAATGAATGAAATTTCTGTTTGGCTCCTGTCTTTTGCAACTGATACAGGCGAGTTTTATTTTGCGTAAGAATTCGTAATCTACTTATATAAGCATAAAAGATAGACATCTCCATCTTTATTGAAATAGCCAATTAACATTCTTAAGTAGACCTCAGATTTGGTACACTTATAATAAAAATGAATGAGTGATATTTAAAACAGTAAAAGGATCGCAGGAATTGAAGTGCGCCGATGTAGAATTTTTATCTTATTAAAATTGTTACAGTAAAAATGAAAATTTAGTTTCTGTTTCTCATAATTCATGCAGACCACTTTTGTTTTGCGTAATGATCCGCTGTCAATTCACAAGCATTTTTAAGAAAATAGCCGAGTACAGTAAATTCTCCTTAATTTTCCTTCAGCTTGTAAACGAAAATGAACAATTTGGGAAGAGGAGATACGATTATTCGAGCCTTACACCTCGTTTTTATAATCGTTGACAATCGATAACTATAAAAAATGAGTCGCGAGGCTCGAATAATTGTATCTCCTCTTCCCAAATTGTCTATTCTTGTTCACAAGCTGAAGGAAAATTAAGGAGAATTTACTGTAATCTCACCATTTTTGCGCAAAGAATTGCGTTTAATACAGTCTAATAGCAAAAGCAGACTTCACAAAGTTAAACTCTAACATTGAATTAAAATTGTTTAATATAACAGCAGCATTCTGCAAGTTCTTGCTATAGAAATTGAAGTAATGGAACCTTGAACCTGGAAATTGAATTCCAGTCTCTTAAATATGAAGTTGATATCGACGATTCGGTGATCTATTTAAACCTTATTTAATGCGAGTTAAAACAGCGATCTACCTAATCCCATTCTATATAAGCTGAGAGCAACTAACATTTTCAATCTACAAAGTTCTAATAACAATTTTTGAACAGTGAGTTTGTTCCATTTTGCCATGATCGTACGTATTCGTTTATATACCTCGTAACTTAAAATAGAGTGACTTTTTATTCGACTCTATTGTCGTTCCCATCTATCGCTTCTCGTGCGTTTCTGTTTTTTTATTTTTATTTTTAAGCACAGTTTAAGACGCGCGTTTATTGCACGGACAAGCCGCCGGATTTATGCTAGTAATTTTTCTTCCGTCCCGATTGAATCGGCGAGCACATTCGACTGCTGTATTTTTCGAGGCTCGTGATCGGTGATTGGCTGCAACGCTGCACCGAGTCGTCCGAGAAAACATATCACGCGACCTGACGTTGTTAACACATCCATCTTCTTTTTATCATCGTTATCGGGTCCGAAAGAACGCGGACCCGCGACCGTATGCATAACCATCGATACGTGCACGCGGCTCAGGCATAAAAACACCGGGAATACTAACGTACAAAGCATGGGTAACCGCGAGAAAAAACTGCGGTCAGCAATTAAAACATACTGGAACAAGCGATAACGTCTGTGGAAAATCGATCGACAAAGTGGAGGGAAGTTTTTAACGTTCGAATATATCTGTTTCAATATCTAGTATATCGAAATTCCAGGAAAATTTCATTATTTGTGCATCGAATATTAAGGTTATTTGTAGATTCGAAGAATTGAAGATTTTGAAAGACTGACAGATGAATTCGAAAGAATTTGAATGATTTTGAAGTATTGAAAATTCGTAGATTTAGAATTGCTTCATTGCTGTAGAGTTTAGTTCGATCGTACGAAAGTGAGAAATTTGAGCTGATTTTAGTTATAGCAGTTTTTAACTTGTTCTATTACCTTCGATGCTAAAACGAAGAGATCTAATTTATATAAATTTAGTGCAGTTTTTATTACAGTAATTGCTTCAACAATGTGCTTTATTCGATCGTTTCCCATGGGAATGTCTCTCTCTCTCTCTCTCTCTCTCTCTCTCTCTCTCTCTCTTTATAACTTTTAAAATTCTACAATGAGGAACGGGTCATTTAACCGTGGTAGGTTTAGCGTTAATATAACAGTAAACTTGTTAATTTTGTTGGATTGTATAGATTTATAGAGGTGCTAATTTTTATGAATTCAAAGCGAGTCACAGTTCGCATCAGTGCTTCTACGAAAATGACACTTTAAATGCGCCTTCAGGCCAGGAAGGATGAAAACTTCGGAACTAGTGAATTCGAAGAGCCTCTCATCAGGAGTTCCAGGGCCAATCTTGCTTAATTTCCTTCCGATCTTTGTCTGTAAATAATTAAATTCATTTAAATGCTTAAGCAGCTCGAATGAATCTTGCCGTCTCGTTTCTATTAAGCTTTACTAGGGTAACTGGAACGTGGTAGAAATTTTCAAGATTTACCATTTCGAAAACATAGATTCCGAGACTACAGCAAAAAAACTCTGCAAATAAAAAATTTTCCTTTCTCTAAACTTGCGAATCACCTACAAATGTAATTGTACATCTCTAACTTGTTCGTTCTTCGATCTCTTGGTCAATGAGGACAATTTTTCTCCCATTTTATGGTTCGCATAATTGTCTACAAAAATGGCAATGTTCATGAAGGTTTGCAGCCCACAGTCCAAATCAGAGTTACCACTTTGTTGTACATTTTCGAGAAATATTCTATTATTTATTCTTTTTGGATTATTATTAATAATTATTAATAATTCAGTATATATATATTATTTATAATAATTCATCCCTACACACAATATTCGTTATTTTAAATTACAAAACGTCCGCTTTTCTTTGTCCATTCGGAAAATGATCACGTAGGGTATCAAGATATTGATAATATTAGTTAATGCCGACAGATGTCGACATTTTTATCTTGATTTTATCACAAGGAACGCCTGAATCATTAAAGGAAAACTTCTTTTTCCTTCCTGTTCTCACAAAACTAGCTATAAGAAGGGCAAATTCGCACAAGGATTCATAGCCCTTTTATTCTCTTTATTGGCCCCTATACTTTCCGAAAACTCAAAGAGCCCGGTTACACCTAGAAACCAAATATAAGAATTCTAAAAAAAAATTCAAGCCGAGAGTACAATAAAACAACTTACCCCTATCGTCGCACGGGGGTAGAAGCTCGTCGCCTGAATCTGGGTGCTGGAACCAGCAGGCAAATTTCCCGCAGTATTTTTCTATTCCACGGATCTCGGCTTTAATCTAGCCCCCTCTCCCGGGGGCGCAGCTTGTTTTATTGTACAGACTCCTAACGTTCCCCCGGCCTTGAGGGACCTCTAGCCTCGAGATCCAATAAGCAATGCTCTCTTCTTCCCTATTTCCCTTCTCGTCGTTTTGCTGCCGCCCCCGTCCGCAACCACCCTCCTCTTCTTCTTACTCCGAAACGATTCCTTTTCCTCTGTTCCGTTACGCGTTCTACCATGAACGCATCTACACTCCGCGACAAAAAGGATGGCACGCCTTGAAATTAAGTGATTTTTATTTATTTAACAGTATAACCAAGGCTTTACTTTTATAGAAACTTTCAAACAACTGCTACAAACATACGCGGATGAATTAGAATCGAATACCGCCAGTCTAAAGAATTTTATTTAAAAAAAAAACGAAGAATTTTTATGGAAATATAGTGCGACGAAATGATAGAGCATTTAATTAAAAATTATGTACGTGTAACAATAAATCAACGAATGATACTTAATGCTTAATATTTTGCGGCTCCGCCTTGACATTCGACGACAATCATTATTAAGTTATTATCGTTATTATTATTTTCTTTGGCAAAGATTTATATAGTTTTCGAATAGATTCTTCTCTAATTGTTCCCAAGCTTGCATAAAAACAAATTCTTGGCTGTAATGTCAAACAAATGAAAATAATTCAATATTCAAATATGCTAGCTTTTTGTCGCAGAGTGTAGTATCTCTGCGAATCCCTTTCCCTTCATAGGAGGTCCCTTTTGAATCAGTGCTGGCCGATTTAAGCTCTGGTGCTTTAGGATACGCGGAACCCACACCCTTTCCACCCCCTCCCGGTAGTGTCGACGATACGGTTCTACCTGTATTAGCAATCTGCTCTATCTACTCGCCGGATATCGAATTAGGGGCACCCGGATCATGCGAGCGCGTAGAACGGATTCCCACGCAACTGTATACTCTATAGAATTCCGGATCAGCGTTACAAAGCATGGCAAGCCGATGCGTATCATCTGTTTCGCCTTGTCGAAATACTGGACTTAGTTGATATGATTCATAAGCGTTCGTAGTCGAAGAAACTGGAACAACAATTGTTTAACTCTATTAACGCCAATCGGGTACACCTTTGTCAGTTTATCATAAAATATCTGTGAGAATATTTTCTGCTCTGAAGATATAAAATCGCTCTGAACGTCCATTTCTTAGGGGGTTTCAAAATTACTTATTTAGCCGTCGATGCAAGGGCTAATGAGGGGAAATTTAGGGACGGTACTTCAGGATGATGCGGGACCAATGACAATCTCTAATAATTTATTGGAATTGAGAATTATGCGAATAATTTATTCGAATAAGTCACATAGAATAATTGATAATAATAGCAATAGTTTCTCGATTTTGACGGGAAAAAGCTTTCGTTGCACAGCGTACAGTAAAAAATAAAATATACAAAGTGTAAATAAAATGAATATTTAATAACAATATTAATGTAAAACAAATATTTTATAAAGTATAAAAGTAAGATATATATATAAAGAGTTGAAGAAATAA